CCTGGAGCTGAAGCCCTTGGGCTTTGGTTTTGCCCCCCACCTGGGTGGTAGGGCTCAAGTTTTAGCTCTCCACACACACGGCGGGGGGGGGGGGCTCAGATGGGCTCAAACTTCAGTTCCCCCTCCTTGGGTCATGTAGTAATTTTTGTTGTCAGAAGGGGTCGAAGTGCAATGAAGCTTGAGAACCGCTGCATTAGAGCCTGTTGAATAGACTGGGTGTTGGCAGTGAGGATGGAGGCCAAAGGAAAGTTGCTAGCAATGGTAAGCAACTGGATTTAACAAGACTTTGGACATCAGGAGAGAAGAGTGGAAGCTGGCACACAAGACTGTGAGCCTGCGCCACCAAGTGGATAGTGCAGTTGCCAAATGGGACAGAAATAAGAGAGGGAGGAACAGGAGCGAGCACAGCAGGAAAGATGAGAGGTTCCATTTCTGACACACTGATTTTGTGGACTGTTGTTCCATAGCTTAGTACAACTACAACCCCTGAAAACAACGTCTGTTGTTGGAGTACAATATATAGCAAAGGAGAGCATGGTGATTTAGGGTGGGCCTTATGGAGCTGGGGCCAAACAACAGGAAACACATTTTAACTGTCTCTGTGGTTCCTTTGCCCCAGTCACTCACCCAACTGACAATTTCAAACGAGTTTCCCTTCCCTGCCCCTTTGGTGGAAGCAACTCCCCTTCTGGAACAATGATGGTTTATTCTTCATTTTTACTGGCCCCTGCAACTGCCAGTCAAACAGCGTGGGCAGGATTCCCTGAACAGAGTATGCCAGCAACACATCTACAACACTGGAGTACTGTGTGCCAAGTGGTAATTACATAGCCTTGCTATGTGGCCTTGGATGAGCCATGATGGCGAAGTAATTACACACAGGGAAATGTGCCTTTTACATTAACCCTTAAGGGCTACGAGTCAAGACTTGTTCACAATGTAATGGGATAATGAAGAGCAAATTACACATTGATGTCAGAGATTTAGACTCTTGATTCCAAGTTGTAAAGGACCAAACTGCAGATATCTGCCTCCCCCTTTTCCCCCCGCCCCCAGCCACATCTTTCATTTTAAATGAGATTTCATTCTATCAGAGTACAAAGTGGGACACTATCATTAAACTGCACCAGTTTCCAGGGCAAAATCCCATTTTTATTCTATTCTTACTTTACATTTATTTACACAGTGTCTTTAATACAAAAGCAATAGCAAATGGTGATAGCTGGTTTTAAGCGCTTGAAGAGCTCTCCCAGGATTATAACTTTATACAACAGTGGAGGCAGGGGGCAGTTCGCTCAGGCACCTACAAAAGTGCCACGGGGTCTTTGATGTCTATGTAGTTATTTATATTGCACTCACCATCGTGACTGTCTGAACACTGAGTAATAATACATATCTCTTCCGTAGCACTCTTCATTGGTAGGTCTCACGGTGCTTTACAAAGGTCACAATCATTATCCCCATTTTACAGATGAGGTACAGAGAGGTGAGGTGACTTGCCTAAGGTTTCCCAGCAAACCAGCAGCAGAGCTGAGACTAGAACCTAGGTCTCCCAGCTCTATCCACTAGGCCACACCGCCTCCCATAGTGTTAACACCCACAATGTTTACCAGACAGGACTTTGTTTTTACATTTTCATCCAACAGAGCCAGACATGGAAAACTGCCTGGTGCTCAATTTATCTAGTGAAGAAGAATTAAGGGTGATGGAATCTGGACTTCTGGTTCTAGGTATCACAAACACAGAGCCTGAGCCTGCAAAGGGAACCCTGGTGCAGAATACTTAGTGCTCCACTTCAAGGGCACCATTTGCTATGGGGAAAGAAGACAGCTCCCCCCAGCACTGTGTTTGCCACTCCCCCCACACTTTTCATCTTTATCAGTGGTGGGCAACCTGCAGCCCGTCAGGGTAATTCGCTGGTGGGCTGCAAGACAGTGTTTACATGACCGTCGGCAGGCACGACCGCCTGCAGCTCCCAGTGGCTGCGGTTCGCCGTTCCCAGACAATGGGAGCTGCAGGAAATGGCGGTCAGCACGTCCCTGCGGCCAGTGGTGAGCTGGAGCCGGTTCGCACCGGTTCGCACGAACTGGTTGTTAAATTTTGAAGCGGTTTTAGAACCACTTGTTAACTGGCTTCCCTGCGAGGGAAGCTTTGATGGGCTCCGGCTGGGAAGCGTGTAATTCCTCCTCCCGGCCGCCGGGGGATGCTGCGCTGAGGGAGCCATGTGGGCTGCCTCCTGGCCCTGTTGCTGCTGCTGCTCCTCGGACCTCTGGCCCTGGGGCTCCTGCTGCTGCCTGGTGGGTCCCTGGCTGCTCTGCTGGGCTTGGCCTGCGTCCTGCTGCTCCGAGCTGCTGTCCCCGTGTGAGTACCCACCACGCTGCCCACAGCCAGCCCCTGCTGCACCCCCTGCCCACAGCCAGTCCCTGCTGTACCCCCCTGCCTGCAGCCTCCCCCTGCCCGCAGCCAGCCCCTGCTGCACCCCCTGCCCACAGCCAGTCCCTGCTGCACCCCCTGCCCACAGCCACCCCCTGCCCACAGCCAGACCATGCTGAACCCCCTGCCCACAGCCAGCCCTGCCCGCAGCCAGCCCCTGCTGCACCCCCCTGCCCGCAGCCAGC